ATATAGGTGCCATAGGTGCAATCCCAAAACATCTGGAGCACCACTTGAACACCATCAGCATTGAAAAAATCACCATCAGTCAATTGCAAAAGGCAACTTTACTTGGAACAGCTTATATCCTGCAACAATACCTTTAACACCATCAAACATCTGCCTATCCCAGGTCCTTGGGAAGGACTCAATAGGTGGATAAAAATGCCAAATCCAGTCTAAACATCTGGCTGACTATGCAACCAATCATCATCATCATCATCATCATCATCATCATCATCTTTCTTCCAGTAGTCCTGCAGCTGCTGGCCCTGGTTGCTCAGCCAACAGTTCTGAGTCTTATAGCCCACCTGTCACCAGATGTCCAGGAATTAGAGCACCTAGCACAGTCCTTGTTGACCAGGCAATGACCAATCCGGTATAGGTTTCTGTAAATTACGTCTCACCATTATGGGAGAGACACTCTTTCTCTGGCTCCTCTGATGACACCAATCCAGTATGGTTGAACCTCTGGTATAGCTCTCATCCACTTCAGAGCATGCAAGCCCTACAACCATATCAAAGTAGTGTCTCACTGGGGGTATAAATGGCATGCCACATTAAGTTTTTAGAATGCCTGGCAATAAACTAAAATGGGAAATGCTTTATAACCTGATTTAAAATTGGTCCAATAACTCAGAATATAATGGGAATCAGGTGGGAAAAAAAAATAGCAAAGTTTCTGGCTTCATATAAGGTTGAAATGTGTAAAAAAAAAAAAAAAAAAAAAAAAAGATGGAAGAGTAAGTAAAAACCAACAAATTGCCCTGTTCCATAAACTATAGATGCTTGACTTATGGAGCTTCCCAGTGCTCACTCAGACAAGTTTAATGATTGCACAGTTCCTTTTCTCCAAACTCTTGATTTTATTACAATTTCCCCAGAGCCTTAATAATCCCCTTTTGGTTCCTCAGCTGCTATTAGATTGACCTTTTATTATTCAGTCACCCAACCTCATATATAGAATTTTATGGATGGGAGAGAAAGTCAACTGACACTTCTCTATTTACAATTTCCCCTGTTCCCCCCACCCCACCTCAAATCTTTTTCCATTGCTTCTTCCATTCTTTTTCTTATTAGGGAAAGAAAGTAGCACAATATCATTCATTGATAGTACTAGGATTTTCCAGTTTGGAAGCACTTTGAATCTTCTTGTATTATTAGTATACATGTTTCTGTCAAAAACAGACAAACTAAAAACAGATTCCACACAAATGCAGAATCCTGGAATATACCCTCAGTAGTAGCAGAATGTCTGAGAAATGACATTTATATGTCCAGAATGTGTTAGGTCATTTCAAATTCTAAATTATATAATAAAAACTTGAGCAACATAATTATAATAAAGGGTTTTTTTCAGCATTCAAAAATGGGGATCAGTAGAACATTTCCAATCTGAAATGTTTTAAACATTAAATGCTCTATTTTGAATTTGAAATGGGTTGTTCTGATCATTACAGAAGTCCTTGATTTTCAAACAAGTATTTTAAGTCAAAACAGGTCCATTTCAAACTTGAAATGCTTTTAAAATAATCAGCACAATCCAGAAATGTTTTGAATTAAAATGGTTTGTACACCCCTGGTACAAAATTCACAGACACCTGCATAGTCACAAGGCACTACTTGAGGCACAAAGTTTTAAAGTAATTTTTAAATGAAATACTCTTCAATTTACACTGGGATTTTAAACTTTTTGTCTGTCTCATTTCACATTAGTTATAATGAGACCTTAGTAAAGGTACTAAAATCATAGCAAAAAGCCAGTACAGTTTTCAGCCCATGCGTTCTTAAGATACATATGTGAATGCATCTGAAAAGTATTTTTTTTTAAAAAAATCATGTTATACTTTAGAGAAGTAAATATAAGATGTCTTAATCTTCTAATATAATGAAAATGTGATGGATAGCATGAGCAGGGAAGATTCTGGAATGGAGCTTCAAGGTTGTCAGGAGGG